CTGACCGGCTACCTCACGAACAGCCAGTGCGTTCTCAACAAGCTGGCTATCCCCTGTAAGTGCAAGACTGCTCACGAGATGGTGGAGGGCAACAACTCCGCCGGGAAGAGAGCAGCTCAGGCAGCGGCCTACCCTCCGAGGATGGCGACGGCGATCTGCGAAGGAGTGAAGCAGCAGATGGAGATCGACAGCGCCGCCGCACTCGCCAACGGGCACATGGAGTCGAGCTTTCCTGTGGACGATGGGGTGGTCACCGAGCCGCCTTCAAAGAAGGCTCGACGAGGAGCAAAGCTACTCGGAGGGACAGGCGGACTCAGACGGAGAGTTACACGCAAGGGCGGCTGGCTCAGCATGGCCAAGGAGAAAGTCGACAAGGTGATGGAGATTTTCAGTAGTTTCGTCGGCTTCCTCACGCCCCTCACCTTGCTGTGGCCTTCGGTGGACAAGAGGGCCGCCGAGATTGCCAAGCTTGAGGAGGCGTCCGCCAGCGTGAAGCTGATTATGGTACGACGGAATCCACGTTCTCTGCTCGCAGCGGTGCCTCACTTGCATGCTTCTCAGGCACCTCTGCGTACTGCCTACGCTCGGTCCGAGCGTGGCGTGTGGTCCGAGCTCGGCTGGGAGGATTGGACCAACTTGTCACCGCAGCAGCGGGTGATGAAGATCGCCGGGGCCGACCTACTCATCATGGTGTACGGCGCGCAGATCGGCGAGGCAGAGGACGGCGAGCAAGATAAGGAGACTATGAGGAAGCAACGATGGGATCAGCTACCACGGGACCTGAAGGTGGCGATCCGACGCTTGCACGAGAACCTGGGTCACGCGCCGAAGATCGAGATGCTCAGGGCCTTGAGGATTTCGAGAGCCTCGGAGGCCGCGATCAAGGCGTGCAGGCTTTTCTCCTGCGAGCACTGTGAACGCACGAGGCGACCGCTGCTGGCAAAGCCGAGCAAGTTGCCGAGCGTCGACGAGTTCAACGTTGTCGTGGGCTTCGACACCTTCGCCGAGAAGGACGCAGACCAAGCAGAGTGGCAGTTTCTGAATATCGTGTGCTTGGGATGCTCGTTTCAGGTGGTTGCTTTACTCGGCGAAGTTCACAAGATGACGGGCTCGACCACGGTGCTGGAGACTTACGAGCTGTGCTGGGCATCTTGGGCTGGTGAGCCTGAGGTTGGAGTCATCGTCGACAGGGCCAAGGGCTTCCTGGGTAGTTTTTCTGAGCATATGTCGAGTCGTGGGTGCAGATTCGATTCGGCCGCCAAGGCGGCAGCATGGCATATCGCCAAGGTCGAGCGTCATGGAGATCTCTGGCAAGCCATGTGGAGGAGAGTCGTCTGGGCGAAGCAGGTCGCTGGACGCGAGGACGTCCTGAAGGCCGTGATGGAGATCAACCAGGCGAAGAACTCGCTGAGCAGGAGGTCTGGATTCTCACCGGCGCAGTGGGTGCTGGGAAGAGATATTCGCCTCCCGGCGGACCTCGTGGACGACGGCGAGGTTGAGAGGATCGGTGCCATTGCGGCATCGGCTACCCCGACATCGAAGTTTGCCAGGAAGTGCGCGCTGCGACAGGCGGCGCGGGAGGCCCACGCGAAGATCGCGAACGAGGGCGCGATCAAGAGGGCTGAGCTTCGACAAGTTCGGCCAGAACGCGGACCTTTCAACGTGGGCGACTGGGTTTTCTACTACGACCAGAAGGAGCAGGGCAAGCGGCCCGAGAGCGTTATCAACTGGAGAGGAGTCGCACGCGTGATAGGTCACGAGGGCAAGCACACGATCTGGATCGTGCACCGCGGGATCACGATCGCCTGCGCTCCTGAGCACCTTGCCAGGGCGTCCGACGAGGAGGTCCGAGCCTGGCTGGTGACGGCGCAGGAGGCAGACTTGATAGACACCACCGGGACGGCTGGAGGCAGTGGATTTATCGATCTACGACGACGGCCTTTTCCCCCAGAGTTTCGGGAAGATGGAGGACCAGTTCGACCAGAACCAGCGGCGGCTCAGCCACCGCCAGAGGCACCGCCCCCAGAGGTGCCGCAGCCGGCAGAGCGTGAAGCACCTGCCGAGCCACTGGTCCAAGAAGAGGAGCCGCCCACGGAGGAGGTAACGGAGGACCCCTACCAGGAGGAACCCCCGATGATGCAGCAGGGACCACCGCCGCCAGTCGAGCCACGAGGAGCGACACAAGCGGAGGACCCGATGGAGGACGCGGTGAAGGACTTTGTCAACGAGGCTGTACGATCCAACCAAGTACCGATGGGCGACGAGTGGGATCCTGATCTTGATGATTTCCATACTCCTGCAGCATCGTTCCCGCCTCGCCCGGCGGAAGGATCTGCCAGTAGAGATAAGGAGAGTCGGCCAGCGGAGGAAGCTGCAGAGCGGGAGGCGAAGAGACAGAAGTTGCTGGATGACGTCCCCGAGTCGATCAAGACGGACGACGCCTTTCAGGTCTACGAGGATATGGACTCGATGATCGACGAGGCCTACCTGGCATATGACGTCAACCAGTCCTTCTACGCCGAGCACGAGGTCAGCAAGGAGGTTTTCGTCTTTGGCGTCGAGCGTAACGAGTTCGAGTACTCCTATGAGGCTGGCTCGACAGTGGCGAAGAAGGGGAGAAAAGAGTTACACTTGAAGGAGCTCGACGAGGCAAAGCGACAGCTATTTATCGGACCTGGAGGTTCGGATGAGAAGGAGTGGAAGGCCTGGCAAGATCTGGATGCTTGCGACACGCTGAGCCTCGGCGAGAGTGAGCAGATCTGGGAGACCAAGCGCGACCTGATCATACCGGCCAAGTGGGTGAGAACCAACAAGAGTGAGGGCGTTCTGGACGCTGAGTTCGAGGCGAAGTCGAGGATGGTGGTCCAGGGCTTCAAGGACAAGAGCCTCGGCGAGTATCGGAGAGATGCGCCAACAGCATCGAAGTTGGCGGAGGCAATGGTGCTGCTCGTGATCGCCAGTATGGGTATGGTGATGAGCTGCGGAGACATCAAGAACGCCTATTTCTCAGGTCGAGGTATAGGACGCGAGATCTACATCAGCCAGCCGCGTGGAGGTTTAAAGGGACTACATCCGAGACAACTGTTGAGGGCCAAGAAGGCGATATATGGGTTTGCTGAGGCTGCTCGTTTATTTTGGTTGGCTTTCTGCGAGGTATTGGAGAAGGACGGATGGGTTCAGTCTGTTTTGGAACCAGCTTTATTTTACTTACGCGACAGAGCAGGCGCTCTGATTGGTATTCTATGCACTCACGTGGATGATTTGCTGGCTGGAGTTTTAAAGAAATACGAGGATACGGCCTTCAGATGCACGAGACAGAAGCTGAATTTCTCGAAATGGCTCAAAGAGGATTTTGTTTTCAGAGGACGTGAGATACAACGTTTACCGAACGGCGATGTTGGAGTAACGATGAAGGGCTACTCGCTGAACATGAAGACGGTTCCGATCCCTCGAGAACGGAAGAAGGAGCTGACGAGCCCGCTGACCGACGACGAAGTGACACGGCTACGGAAGGCTACGGGAGAGATATCTTGGTTGTCGAGGCAGCTTCGAGCAGATCTAGCCTTTCAAGCGGGACAAGCTCAACGAGCCATGGTAGCGCCGTGCATCGCCGACCTGGTGAAGGTCAACAGGGCCATCAACGACGGCAAGAGGGGCGCCGACTACATGCAGAAGTTTCCGAAAGGTATCGACCTCAGTCGAGCTACGGTCTTGATTGAATGTGATTCAGGACACGCGAACGGCAACCCCGAGAGTGACGAGATCGCGAGATACAAGAGCATCGGTGGTCATTTTCTCTTCATAGTGGACCACGACGTGTTGTCGGGGAAGCTGGTGACCGCAGCTATGATGGATTACAGTTCTAAGTCGACACAGAGAGTTTGCCGGAGCACACTTGCAGCTGAAGCCTCACATCTTGCAGATTCACTGGAGGCTGGTGAATGGCTGTGTGTTTTACTTGAGGAGGTGTTCAATCCGAAGATCGATTTGAAGGATTGGCAGAAGATCGTGGCGAGAAGAAGCAGAGTCTTCTTGACTGATGCCAAGTCGGTGCATGATTATTTGACGAAAGAAGGATCAGGCCTTAGCCGAGACAAGCGGATGGCAATAGAATGAGCGTTACTGAAGGAGGCTTTGAGGCAACCGAACACGACACTACGTTGGGTGGATGGACTACAGAATCTGGCGGATATTCTTACGAAAGAGGGAGTTGATCTGGACTATTTCCGACATTACTTGAGGACGAATCAGATCACGATCCAGCAGGATCAGGCTGCAGTGAAGATAAAGGAGAAGAAGAGATCACAGAGGGCCGCACGGAAGTCAGTTGCTAAACCCGATCGAGCTGAAGCTGATCGACTACGACGTGAACGTTCGGCCGCAGGAGTTCGAGAAGAAGACTTGCAGGATGACTGAGATGGTCAGAGCTACAAAAGAAAAATAATGAGTCTGAGATTCCCTGGAGGTGTACCCGAGGACCCCTCTGGAGCCCGCCTAGCCCTGACCCTCTCTTACCAGTACCTCGCCTACTTCCCCCTCTGAGTGCACCTGCCTCTGCCCTCTCGCCCGCTGCTCGCTGCCCGCTGCCCGTCTCGGCCCGCAAGGCCGGCCTTTAGAGCTTGTTGTACTGGGCGCCTGGCGCCCCCGCAGATAGCTCGTGGCCCGCGCGGGGCCGTGGATGAGATAAACAGGTTTATCATCAGCATCTACCATACGCTTTCAGAGCAGGCTTTGAGGTGGATGCAGCGACCCACTTCTAAGCTGGGTTCGGCTGGATAGAACCCACCTTAGCATCCACTTGCATCCCCCTCTCCTCCTAGCAACCTTCTCGGCGATCCAAGCATGCAAGTAAACGTGCCGAGCCTGAGGACAGACGCTCTCCAAGCAGCGGCCCGGGATATGATCGTTTTCTTATTCATTGTTTTGCCGACCTTCAGGGCAGGCTTTGAGGTGGTTTTGGGGTCGGCCCGGTTATGCCGGCAGCGCCGTCGCCGTGGGAGGCCATTGCCGTGAAGGAGTGTCCCCCGGAGTACTTCGCGGGCCTGCACGCCCTCTTCTGGCTGCAGGGCCAGGATTCACGGAGGAGGGGGAGGAGCGGAGAGGAGGGGCAGAGAGGAGGGGCAGGATGGGGGATGATGAGGAGGAGGAGGAGGAGGACGAAGGAGGAGGATGATGATGATGAGGAGGAGGAGGAGGAAGAGGAGAAAGAGGACGAGGAAGAATAAGAACAGCGATCAAACCAATGATAATCATAGTACTAATACGACTATGAATAATAATACGAATCGAAATAACAATACGAATAGTAATACTCATACACTATTATAGATACGAAGAATAATCCTACTATTCAGAATCAAGGTGGTAGTAATAAGCACACGAGTAACATTAGTAAGAATAACAAGTCAAACAATAACAATACTTGTTCTAAGTGTAATAATACGAAATCTGATACTAAGAGGAGGAGGAGGAGGAGGAGGAGGAGGAGGAGGAGGA